TCCGGTTCGGGCTGGGCCCGGCCGGGCCCCATGGGCGAAAGCCCGGCCACCAGGCGCTCGCTCATGGGCCCCAACCCCAGGCCTGGCTCCAGGGTGGGACCCCGGTAACCCTCCGGGCCGGGTACTCCGACTCTTCGTTTTAACCGCCATGAAAGATCCTTCGAACCGTTCTTTGTCTCATGTAGACTGGTTGGGTAAATTCCCACACACCCTCCAGGATCCCCCTAAGGGCATAGAGCTGGTCCAGTGTTCCACGGCCAGGACGAAAACCACCTTGCTCCTCCCTAATCTGAGGTTCAACAATCCGACGGACCCTCCTCTCCAGAACCCCTGAATAGACCTTACCAGGAAGGCTCAGGAGTGTGATCCCCCTGTAGTTGGAACACACCCTGCGGTCCCCCTTTTTAAATAAGGGAACCACCACCCCGGTCTGCCAGTCCAGTGGGACCGCCCCCGATGTCCACGCAATATTGCAGAGTCGCATCAGCCAACGCAGCCCCACAACATCCAGAGCCTTATGGAACTCCAGGCGGATCTCATCCACCCCCGGAGCCTTGCAACAGAGGTGCTTTTTAACCACCTCAGTGACCTCAGCACCAGAGATTTGAGAGGCCAGCTCAAAGTCACCAGACTCTGCTTCCTCACTGGAAGACGTGTCGGTGGGATTGAGGAAGTCTTCGAAGTATTCTGCCCACCGATCCACAACATCCTATGTTTGGGTCAGCAGCACACCGTCCCCAATATAGATAGTGTTGGTAGCGCACTGCTCAACCCCCCCCCCCCCCCCCCCCCCCCCCCCCAGGTGCCGGATGGTGGACCAGAATCTCCTCAAAGTCGTACAGAAGTCTTGCTCCATGGTCTCTCCGAACTCCTCCCATGCCCGGGTTTTTGCTTCGGCGACCACCCGAGCCGCATTCCGCTTGGACTGCCGGTACCCATCAGCTGCCTCTGGAGTCCCACAGGCCAACAAGACCTGATAGGGCTCTTTCTTCAGCTTGACAGCATCCCCAACTGCTGGTGTCCACCAGCGGGTTCGGGGGTTGCCACCACGACAGGCACAGACAATCCTGTGACCACAGCTCTGGTTGGTCGCCTCAACAATGGAGGCACGGAACAGGGTCCATTCAGACTCAATGTCCTCCGCCTCCACCGGAACATTTTGGAAGTTCTGTCGGAGGTGGGAATTGAAGCTCCTTCTGACAGGTGACTCTGCCAGACTTTCCCAGCAGACCCTCGCGATACGTTTGGGCCTGCCTGGTTTGACCGGCATCCTCCCCCACCATCTGAGCCAACTCACCACCAGGTAGTGGTCAGTTGACAGCTCTGCCCCTCTCTTCACACGAGTGTCTAAGAGATGCGGCCGTAGGTGAGGGATCAGACAAAGAGCAGCCCAAAGACCTCTTATGATGAATTATATAAATGGAAACCGTGTTCCCTCGCCTGGACGTGGGTCACCGGGGCCCCCCTCTGGAGCCAGGCCTGGAAGTGGGGCACGTTGGCGAGCGCCTGGTGGACGGGCTTTCACCCATGGAGCCCGGCCGGGCACAGCCTGAAGTAGAAATGTGGGTCCCCCTTCCCCTGGGCTCACCACTCGTGGGAGGGGCCTAAGGGGTCGGGTGCAGTGTGTGACGGGTGGTAATCGAGGGCGGGGACCTTGGTGGTCTGATCCTTGGCTACAGAAGCTGGCTCTTGGCACATGGAATGTAACCTCTCTGGTGGGGAAGGAGACTGAGTTGGTGTGTGAGGTAGAGAGGTTCCCACTAGATATAATCAGACTCACCTCAACGCATGGATCTGGCTCTGGAACCAGTTTCCTTGAGAGGGGTTGGACTTTCTACCACTCTGGAATTGCTCCCACTGAGAGGCGCCGAGCAGGGGTGGGCATACTAGTTGCCCCCCATCTTGGTGCCTGTACGTTTGGGTTTACCCCAGTGAATGAGAAGGTACAGCCTCCCTCCTCCTACGTGTGGGGGGACGGGTTCTGACTGTGGTCTGTGCTTATGCACCAAACTACAGTTCGGACTATCCACCCTTTTTGGAGACCATGGAGGGGGTGCTGGAGAGCGCTCCTTACAGTGACTCCCTCATTCTGCTGGGGGACTTTAACGCGCACGTGGGCAATGACAGTGAGACCTGGAGAGGTGTGGTTGGGAGGAACAGCCCCCCTGATCTGAAACCGAGTGGTGTTTTGTTATTGGACTTCTGTGCCAGTCATGGATTGTCCATAATGAACACCATGTTCAGGTTCAGACATAAAGGTGTTCATATGTGCTCTTGGCACCAGGATGCCTTAGGCCGCAGCTCGATGATCGACTTTGTTGTTGTTTCATCATCACATCTTATTGGTCATAATTAATTTGCAGTCGTCACGCTTTAAAGTGTGACCACTACACAAGTATATTACCAGGGGCTGCATTTCACTTCTGCAGCTGCTGGTTGGTCTTTAAAGTGAGGGCCAAGCCATGAGTGGAGACGTATTTCATCCACACTTCCTGTTAGAAATATGCTCCTGAAAGAGGCGTGGCCTGGTGGACCAAGAGAGTGGCGCTGAGGCAGTGGTAGACCGCACCCCCCTTAACCCCCCCGCGTGTGCTGTCGGGAGTTTCTCAGTCTAAAAACGAGTTGTTAACGAGCGAGTGCGCACTCGCGTGTGCACGCAAGCACGCACTCACACAAGACTTACCACTCAGGAGAAGAGCAGACACAGATTCCTCAGCATTTTGGAGGATTTCCTGTTAACCACGACCATTAGATGAAGGGGTTAGGAGGGCATTTTTTCAAGGAGGTAAGCGGCTCAGAGCGCCAACGTGTCATATCGGCAGGTGAGTGGCTGAGCCAGGTGGAGGTGCGGCTGCCTCACCTGGAGACCAGCGCGGTGCCGCCACGTAGTCGTCTGCTGATAACGTCACGTTTTTCAGCTTAGCCATCAGCCACAGCTGGTTCTGAATAAATGTGGAGCAGAGTTTTAACCTGAAGATGGAGACATGATTACGGTTTTGGGCTGAAACATTAAATTTACAGTAAGTTACACTAAACTGCCACACTAATGATTACACATGTGCACAGCACCATTACACTCATCTATACAGGTTATCAGCAAAAAAAGGTAAATCTAGGTGTTACTTGCTCTTTAAGGAGGCTGACAGGTAGAGCTTCTTCTGAATGGAATGCAGCCCTGGTCTTATACCTGAGCTTTTAGGATCATTGGTTTTTTTCTTCCCAGGAATAGAATTCAAGAAGCACAAATCCAAGTCAGGTCTCTAGTTGGACTTGTCTTTTTGTCTTTGTGAGGCAAATCTTGAGACGTAATCCAAAATTAAAGAGGCCTTTCACTCATCATTTAATGCGTTTGCGGTGGCCTCAAGTTGGAATGAGTGCCTTGTAAGTCGTACTCCGGGGTGGGGGGTGGGGGGGGTGGGGTGGGGGGGGTCAGACATGCCTAAGACGGGACATCTCACCTCTGATTGGCTAACAGGAACACGACTCTACCACTGACTCTGTCTGCTCTGTAACGTTGATGTTTTATCTCCACAAATAACACAAGCCTGGAGGAGTTCTGCTGTGTGGTGGAGCTGCTCATGCTAACACCTCTTTGTCTATATGTTTGTGATCAAAGACCAAAAATTTGATTATCTACAGCAAGATGAGAAATGAAAAACAAAATTCCAAGCTTGAAAATGTAGAATTTACATCGTTTTACATCTCTGTTTTCACTTCAGCAACAACAAAAAAAAAAGAAGAAAAAAAAAAAAGAAAAATGTGCTGCAGCTTGTTTCTGGGGAGGAGAAGCAAATATTAAAGTGAAACATCTGGTGGAAATATCTCAGGGCTGATCAGGCTTTCTGGCATCAGAATAATAACATGACTGAGTTTAAAGTTGCATCACCATAAAATGCTAATTTTAATTCCTTTGGGAGAACAGAATGAGTTCATTCAACTGGAGCTCATTTTAAATGGGTTCAATTTGCTGAACATTGAGTGTTTTCTAAATATTTCTGACAAACTCAGAGTGAGGACAACAAAGTATCTCTCTGTCCACGCCATGTTCTATCTGCAACAGGTGGACAATAACCCTAACCCCATGAGGACCAGAGTGGTCCGATCTCCATCTAATATGACAACCTCGTGCATGCTGCAACAAACACCCTTCTGTAGCCTGGTTTGAGTTGCAGTCTGGGATGTAGGAGAGCAAAGGGCTAGCAGAAAATGCAGTGAGGGCAATGATCCTAATTTATACTAAAACAAAAACATCATGAAAACAAGCTTAACAGTCCTACTGATTTCTCTCTGACTAATCATGTAAACATGAAGGGAAAAGGAGAGTCATCGGAGCTTCGGGGTGTATCGTTTACTCTTAGTTCCACTCCTGTTGGGTCAGGAGCTCGCAGTAGACCACGAGTCCCTCCGGACCGACGGGATGGAGGAGTGGTCGCTCCTCGCTGTGGGAACATTCTTCAGCAGGCACTGAACCGAAACCACTTCTGACATCTCAAGAGTTTCTCACCGGGTCGGCCCCACTGATACGGACCAAACTGTTCACTCCTTTATGCAATCAGAAAATAACGATTACAATTAAATAATGCAATGCAGAAGGTAATTACAACCATCTATTCATATAAATAACTGTGTTTAAAATATTTCAGGTATTTTAGGGGATAAACTGAAAAATGAGCTGAATAAAGATCTTCTGGACGTAAATGACTTCTGACTAGGAAGGTCCTGAACTGGGCTGTGATTGGACCACATCTACACACTCGGTGCCCTGCAGCAGTTACTCATTACTCAGCAATGTCCCCCCCCCCCCCCCCCCCCCCCCAATACCCCCACTGCACTAGAAGCAAGATGACGTACGTGTTGGTGGTTTACGGGCTTCAGAAAGCATGCTTTCATTATGTCAGCATGGGGGGGTGAGGGTGACCTCACCAGTGAGACCATCTCTCCACCTCGGAGCAAACCCAAAGATTATTCCTGGCAGAAACGTAGAAGACATGAGGGAGCACCTGAGGAATGCTTCCTGGATCACGGTTTACCCCCAAATGGGTGGGCTCTGGTCTGGGGGTGGGAGGGTCTGTAGTATTGGTTCTGATGAAGGAAGACCAACACACATCAATCTGTAACACCGAGGAGATTCAAGCCAGTAAGAAGCAGATGTTCCAGTAGTTTCTAAAGGGTTTTAAAGGGTAAGTTCACTGAGAAACCGTTTTTTACTTTTTAGTTTTCAAATATGATCACTCACTCCGAGTTTCACATGCAGGCTGAAACATCAGCGTTGCAGAGTAAACAGAGTCAGTGGTAGAGTCGTGTTGCTGTTTGCCAATCAGAGCAGGGCTCCGGCTAACTCCACTTCCTGAAACAGAAGCGCCAGAGCTTTATTTCTCATAGAGATCGACTTACAAGGCATTAATTTATACTAGAGACCACTGCAGATGTGTTATCTCTTTTAGCACGGAGTACCGCAGCAATCGTAATGTGGTGATTTTTCACACATATGGAAATAAAACCTGCTGATTCTGATTCTCTGAAAAAATAAGAGAACTTGGTCTTCAAAGGTAAATGAAGAGACATTTGTCCAAATCTGAGTCAAGTCTCAAGTTGTTGTAGGGACAACCTTACCTTACAGGTCATCTGGGGACAAGTCTGAGTATAGTCGCATCTCTTTATAAGTAAATGACAAGTCTCCCAGGAACAAGTTTGAGAGTGAGAGGACGTAAGTTTAAAGTCCTTTTGAGAAAATTCCAAGTCAATCTCAGGTTTTATCGTGGCAAGTCCAGGTCATGTTTCATGTCTTCCAAAGACTATGAGTCAGGTGGAGTCTCTGTGGGGTAAGCTTTCAGGATTTGTATGACTTAAATGAGACTTGTGTCCAAGTGTCAGACTCGTGTCCCCCCACTCGCTCTGCCTGTGATTAATAATGATTTATTTCACCCAATCAGGTTTTTACTCTTAGGGCTTTTGACAGAAAGAGTTCAGACTGACGAGCCGATCAAGTTTTATTTCATATAAACTAATTTAATTCTCATTCCCAAAGTGGTTTCAGTTATAAGCAATGCTAAAGTGAAATAGTGTGTTTTGTCGTGTTGGAGCTTATCAATATTCCTGGAATTTGGGATTCAGGAGAGAACATTTTTCTCAGACTGAGTCGGTGCTGTAACCAATCTCCACCTGAACGCAGCATTAAATCATGTTTTACCCAAACCAGGAGCTGACAAAGCGCTGCTGCTGGGAATGGTTGAAGGATTTCTGTTGAACACCTCAGAGTGATCAATTCTGGGACTTGAACGATGACCAATGCAGTAAAGCTTATATTAAAAAGCGTCAATAGTAATACGTTTTGGGATAAACTTTCTGAAAGAGCACAAGCTGCTGCACCAGCCTACTGGTGGGTGTTTATGAGGGTGATTAGCACCTCTAACACAAACACCTCTGAGGTTCTAGACAGTGTCACCAGAGCAATACAGATATAAAGAACCCAAAAAGTTAAACCACATCTGCCTTCATGCAGGATAATAACAGGTTCCTGATAAATCACAGCAGACTTTATTTAAAATAACACAGATTCTGTTCTGTGTGAGGACAGAAAAGTGCAGGGGGTGTTTGCTTTGGTTTGTCAAGCACCCAAAACCTTTAAACACACAAACATGAGGGCAAATCACATCCAAGTCAAACACGCCACTTTCTCTCAGACCAAAAAAGGAAAACAAACCAGACTCAGATTTTTTTTATTTCCCTTTAGTCTTGTCAAACAGACTTGATTCAATCAGAGTCAAACGTTTTAGTTCTCTCTCTTTTTACACTAAACCTTTTCTGTTCGAGTCAAAAATGACGTGTTTATGATTGATTGTAGTGATTTTGTTTTTACTATGTGAGAATGGGAACACAGACTCACCAGCTCGTAGTTTGTTGCTGGAACACAAGAAGAAGACACCTGAAATCAAAGGAAATACTGGTGTTAAAAGGAGTTACCTGATTGGTCGGTTTTGTCAATGTATTATTTAAATATAAACACAACATAAGGCGACTCAAAAACTAACCAAATGTTGATAAAAAAAGTTTACAGTTATGCAAAGTGAAGGTGCAGAACTAAGCAACACGTACAAATGCTAGAATTCATGACAAGGGTCTCCAAAGTGCGGTTCGCGGGCCATTTGTGGCCCTTGAGTGACTCAGTGCAGCCCTCAATGATGCCATTTCCTGCTAACCAGCAGCACAAACGCTCACTGACTTTCACTAAAAAGCCAATTTGGGACATTCGTTCTTTAAATGTGACTAAAGCCGGCAAACATGCAGGAAGAGTGACTCGGATAACGAACTCACATCTAGGCGTGGCCATGTCATTCCTTCCACGATAAGAACAGTCATTTAATGCTAGCTAGACTTCAACACATCACTATGTTCACGTGGGTCAAGCAGCACAGTTATTAAAATTGTGAAGGCAAACATGGCTGGAATCTCAGAGTGTTCAGTATTTTTGCCGCTGCAGGCCCCCCACCCGTCACCAGGTCATGCGAGTGGGCTCAGCCACACAAACAGGAAAAAGAGACGCATGAAGCTGCAAGCTAGCTAGAGCCGGGTGTGCTTGCTAACTCTAGAAATTGTGCTTTATCAACGCAGACGTGACCGGCTCCTGCTAGCTTGCTGATTCAGACGCAAGGCACAAGTTTTTTTTTCTTCATCAGATTTTCTTGTTGACGAACCGGAAAAACTTTGTCTTTGTTATCGAGTCATATCTGCCCGTCTGGTTTGTGTCATGGTCTGCGTCTGTCTTCCCCATGTGTCTCCTGGTGTCCTCCATCCCTCTCTAGATTCCCTCTTGTGTCTCTTTGTTCCCCAGCTCCTCTTGTGCTCCACTCCATGTTCTCCCCTTGTGTTGTAGCCCTTTAGCGCCCTCATGTGTCCTTGTCTGTATCCCTGTTGTGTGTCTTATGCTGTAGCTCTTTGGCGCCCTCATGTGTCCTTTTTCTGCGTGTCAGTTTAGTGTCTTATGTTTATAGTCCTTTAAGTCTAGTCCTCCCAGGTTTTGTGTCATCTCATTCTTCCCCAGGTCCTCCAGGTCTCGTTTACATTCTGTGTCCTTGTAGTCCCCAGCTCAACGTGTGTGTGTGAGATCCAGTCTCCTGCTCAGTTTGTGTGTTTCTGTGTGTGTGTGTGCTTGTCCATTCCCCTTTCCCGTTTATATATTAGTGCCTTGGTGTGTGTGTATTAGTCCTTCCCGCAGCCTTTAGATTTAGTTTTGGTGTCTTAGAGTTTCTTAGGTTTATTTGGCCCTCCTCTGTTTCTGTTTGCCCATTTTGATTATTAGGTTCACCTGTCTTCCCTCCAGCTCACTTCACACACCTGCTCCCATTTTCCCTAATCACTTCTCCCAGCGTATTTAAGCCCTGTCTGTCTCTGTGTTCTTGTCGGTCCATTGAATGTTTGTTATTCTGTCAGTCTCGTCTCGTTTGGATTACCAGTGTTCTTGCCCCTTGGACTTTCTAGAGTTTTGGATCTCCAGAGCTTATCTGGAATTTTGGACTTCTGGCTCGCTGCCTGGATTTACTTTTGTTCCGCCTTCAAAATAAAGAATTTTACTTTTCATCATCTCTGCCTCGTGTCATCCTGGGTAACTGCATATTTGGGTCCTAACATCCGCAGAACGTGACAGAATGGACCGACCAACCAGGACCCAGCGGCCACGGATGTACACCTTCCACGGCGACCCGGACTCCTGTAAGACTTTTCTTCTGGACTTTGTTAGGCTTCATGACACGGACACGCCAGACATTGATCTGGTAATTAACCTGGTGTTCCTCCTAAGGGGGAGAGCTCTGCAATGGGCCAGCCTATATTTTGATCAGAATCCAATTCAGGAGTTGGTGTTTTGGGACTTCGCAGAGGATCTGCTGGACGCCTGCAGCAGCCCACAGTTTCCCTCCTTCTCTGTGGATTATAATCCATCAGCAAGCGCCATATTAAGAGCTGCCTTCTCAGCATCTAAAAAGCACCACGCATCCACATCTCCGCCTGGTTCTGACAGCACCACCACTTCCTCTACGGTGGGCTGCCACCACACTTCTCCAACTGTTCCTGCCGTCTCCATAACTCAGCCTCCTATGGTCTGTGTCACCACACCTCCACCAGTTCCAGAGAGCTCTACCACACCCTCACCTGGTCCCGACAGCACCACCACTTCCTCTCTGGTGGGCTGTATCTCATCCTCAGTGCCTGCCAGCGTCACCTCCACACCTCTGTTGACCCAAGACTCCCCACGTCGACGACGTCGCCGCAGCCGCCGTCAGAGGTCTTCTGGGGCAACAGTTCAGGTGGCTCCTGCTCCAGCGGTGGTCCCGAGGGTCGCATCGCGTCCTGCTCCAGCGGTGGTCCCGAGGGTCGCATCGCGTCCTGCTCCAGCGGTGGTCCCGAGGGTCGCATCGCGTCCTGCTCCAGCGGTGGTCCCGAGGGTCGCATCGCGTCCTGCTCCAGCGGGGGTCCCGAGGGTCGCATCGCGTCCTGCTCCAGCGGGGGTCCCGAGGGTCACTTCGCATCCTGTCTCGACGGTGGTCCCGAGGGACGCATCGCACCTCGCCTCAGCGGTGGTCCAGGTGGACGCATCGCACCTCGCCTCAGCGGTGGTCCAGGTGGACGCATCGCACCTCGCCTCAGCGGTGGTCCAGGTGGACGCATCGCACCTCGCCTCAGCGGTGGTCCAGGTGGACGCATCGCACCTCGCCTCAGCGGTGGTCCAGGTGGACGCATCGCACCTCGCCTCAGCGGTGGTCCAGGTGGACGCATCGCACCTCGCCTCAGCGGTGGTCCAGGTGGACGCATCGCACCTCGCCTCAGCGGTGGTCCAGGTGGACGCATCGCACCTCGCCTCAGCGGTGGTCCAGGTGGACGCATCGCACCTCGCCTCAGCGGTGGTCCAGGTGGACGCATCGCACCTCGCCTCAGCGGTGGTCCAGGTGGACGCATCGCACCTTGTCTCCGTGATGGTCCAAGAGGACGCTCCCGTCTCGGGCCCCCAAGAGGACGCTCCCGTCTCGGGCCCCCAAGAGGACGCTCCCGTCTCGGGCCCCGAAGCGGACGCTCCCGGCCCGAGCCCCGAAGCGGACGCACCCGGCTCGGGTCCCGAAGCGGATGCACCCGGCTCGGGTCCCGAAGCGGACGCACCCGGCTCGGGTCCCGAAGTGGACGCACCCGGCTCGAGCCCCGAAGTGGACGCACCCGGCTCGAGCCCCGAAGTGGACGCACCCGGCTCGAGCCCCGAAGTGGACGTACCCGGCTCGGACCCCGAAGAAGACGTCTCGAGCCTCTGCTCTGAAGCGGACATCTCTGTCTCAAGTCTCCCCACACGTGTTCCAGTTCCCCAAGCCTCAAGTGTTCCCATCTCGAGTGTTCAAGTCTCCCAGCCTCCCGAGTCACAAGCCTCCCAGTCTCTAGCCTCCCAGTCTCTAGCCTCCCAGTCTCTAGCCTTCCAGTCACCTCAAGCCCTCCAGTCACCTCAAGCCTCCCAGTCTCTAGCCTCCCAGTCACCTCAAGCCTTCCAGTCACCTCAAGCCTTCCAGTCACCTCCAGCCTCCCAGTCTCTAGCCTCCCAGTCTCTAGCCTTCCAGTCACCTCAAGCCTCCCAGTCTCTAGCCTTCCAGTCACCTCAAGCCTCCCAGTCTCTAGCCTTCCAGTCACCTCAAGCCTTCCAGTCACTTCAAGCCTCCCAGTTTGACGTTCCCCAGTCTACGTCCCCTCAAGTTCCCCAGGCTGACGTTCCCCAGTCTACGTCCCCTCAAGTTCCCCAGTCTGAAGTTCCCCAGTCTACGTCCCCTCAAGTTCCCCAGGCTGACGTTCCCCAGTCTACGTCCCCTCAAGTTCCCCAGGCTGACGTTCCCCAGTCTACGTCCCCTCAAGTTCCCCAGGCTGACGTTCCCCAGTCTACGTCCCCTCAAGTTCCCCAGGCTGACGTTCCCCAGTCTACGTCCCCTCAAGTTCCCCAGGCTGACGTTCCCCAGTCTACGTCCCCTCAAGTTCCCCAGGCTGAAGTTCCCCAGTCTACGTCCCCTCAAGTTCCCCAGTCTGAAGTTCCCCAGTCTACGCCCCCTCAAGTTCCCCAGTCTGAAGTTCCCCAGTCTGTGTCCCCTCGTAGTCGTGGTCTTTGTCCAGAGTCCCCTGTTGGTAGTGGTCCTGTGTCCCCTCTTAGTCATGGTCTTTGTCCAGTGTCCCCTGTCGGTAGTGATCCTGTGTCCCCTCTTAGTCTTGGTCTTGATCCTGTGTCCCCTCTTAGTCTTAGTCTTGATCCTGTGTCCCCTCTTAGTCTTGGTCTTGATCCTGTGTCCCCTCTTAGTCTTGGTCTTGATCCTGTGTCCCCTCTTAGTCTTAGTCTTGATCCTGTGTCCCCTCTTAGTTTTAGTCTTGGTCCTGTGTCCCCTCTTAGTCTTAGTCTTGGTCCAGTTTTCCCTCTCAGTCTTAGTCTTGGTCCAGTTTCCCCTATCACCACACTCCTACAGTCCAGGCTCCTGGTTCCCCGTCGCCGGCCCCCCAGACTCCCACAGTCCCGGCTCCTGGTTCCCCGTCGCCGGCCCCCCAGGCTGACACAGTCCAGGCTCCTGGTTCCCCGTCGCCGGCCCCCCAGACTCCTACAGTCCTGACTCCTGGTTCCCCGTCGCCGGCCCCCCAGACTCCTACAGTCCCAGCTCCTGGTTCCCCGTCGCCGGCCCCCCGGACTCTTCTGTTCCCTCCTCGCCCGCCCCTTTTTGGGTTGTGTTTTGTTTGCTCCCTCCTCTCCCCCCCTCTGGTTGTTTCGTGTCTGGTTTTGGTCTTGTCTTTTGCTTGTGGTGTTTGTCTGTCTTGTGGTCGTCTGGTATCCGCCCTTAGAGGGGGGGGTACTGTCATGGTCTGCGTCTGTCTTCCCCATGTGTCTCCTGGTGTCCTCCATCCCTCTCTAGATTCCCTCTT